TGTTAGGGTGCCGGGGGGGCTCCGGGCTGTGTGTTGGGGTCCCTGGGGGGCTCTGGGCTGTGTGTTGGGGTCTGAGGGTGCTCCGGGCTGTGCGTTGGGGTCCCAGGGGGGCTCCAGGCTGCACACCGTGATGGCGGGGTCTGGGGGATGCTGAGGCTGCACACCGGGACAGCGGTACCCAGGGACCCCAGGCTGGACGGGGGGGTCCCGGGGGGTCCCCCGTGCTGGCAGCCGGGACGCGGGGCTCACGGGTGGGTTCCCCCCGCTGCAGATCTCCGACAGGATGGGCCTCCTGACGCATCTCTACCGCACCTTCGAGAAGTCCAAGTTTGCGGGATTCTGCCAGAAGCTGGCGGAGGGTAGGGGAGCCCCCTCCCGGGGTGGGGCAAGACCTGGGGGAGCCCGTCCCTGCGTCCCTGCCACCCTCGTCCCCGCCGGGGGACTGTCACCCCTTTGCCGTCCCTCCCCGTGACGCCTCCCCGCACCTGATCTCTGCCCCCGGCGCACCCTTCGCCCCGAGCACCCTCCGCCCTCGTCGGGGGGGACGTGCTGCTCCCCCCACAGCCCAGCCCGGCCTGCAGGGGCCGGGTGCCAGCCCCAGCGGGTGCAGGGGGGTCCCGGGTCCCCGTCCCACTCCCCCCCACCCCGTACCCAGGCGCCCAAGCTGGGGACCCGCTCTGCTGCCACATCTTCACCAAGGCCGGCGAGGTCCTGGGAGGACGGGCTGCAGCGGCTGCGGCTCTGGGCCGGGGTCCGGCACGCAGGGCGCAGCTGGACCCAAGCAGAACAGGAGGGAGGAGGAAGAAGAGGAGGAGGAAGGAGGATGCCTCTGGGCGTGAATACGGGCACGCACGGGTACCTCCTGCCCGCTGGGGAGAAGGGAGCGAGGGCGAGGATGGGCGAGCGGGGGGAAGGACTCGATGCCGCTGGGTGCTGACGGCGTGCGGTGGCCCCAGCGAAGGGGAAGGCCGGGGCTGGGCCCGCCCGCCTGCGGTCAAGCAGCTTCCTTGGGGCTGCTCTTCGTTTAAAAGGAAAAAGGGAAAAAGAAAAGCCCTTTTTCGCTTCTTGCGTTTGCAGTGAGCAGCGAGGAGCTGTGCCTGGCCTAGAGCACAAACCCGAACGCGGCCTCTCCCTTCCAGGAGGGCTGGGAGGGAAGCGCGGGCGCCGGACGGGCGCGGAGCTCGCGCAGCAAGCGGGGCCGATCCTGCGGGCTCCCCCCGCCACCGCCGGCCGCCCCGCACCCTGCGCCGCCAGCACGGCCTCCCGGGCAGGCCCCCCCCC